TGACTCTCTTAAATGAGAGGAAGCCTAACAACACTCAATCCCGGTAGGGGAACTCTTAAGAGTGGAGGTCTCAGCATAACGACTCTCTAGAACAAGAGGAGACCTGACTACACTCAACGCTAGCGGTAGTTAGTGAGGCTCAAAAGAAAGAGCCTACAAACTCATATTACTGCCAAAGACGGAGTTTCTGAAAATCGGAGGCTTCAGCAGAATGACTCTCTTAAATGAGAGGAAGCCTAAAAACACTCAGCCCTAGTTGAGGAACTCTCAAGAGTGGAGGTCTCAGCATAATGATTCTCTAAAACGAGAGGAGACCTGACTACGCTCAATGCTAGAGACAGTTAGCAAGGCTCACAATAGAGCCTAAAAATGCTGCCTAAGTGGAGCTCTAGAGAGCGGAGGCTTTCAGCAGAATAACTCTCTTAAACGAGAGGAAGCCTAACAACAATCAATCCTGGTAGGGGAACTCTTAAGAGTGGAGGTCTCAGCATAATGATTCTCTAAAACGAGAGGAGACCTGACTACGCTCAATGCTAGAGACAGTTAGCAAGGCTCACAATAGAGCCTAAAAATGCTGCCTAAGTGGAGCTCTAGAGAGCGGAGGCTTTCAGCAGAATAACTCTCTTAAACGAGAGGAAGCCTAACAACAATCAATCCTGGTAGGGGAACTCTTAAGAGTGGAGGTCTCAGCATAATGACTCTCTAAAGCGAGAGGAGACCTGACTACACTCAAAGCCAGAGGCAGTTAGCAAGGCTCACAATAGAGCCTACAAAAACATAGTACTGCCTAAGCGGAGCTCTGGAGAGCGAAGGATTCAGCAGGATGACTCTCTTAAATGAGAGGAAGCCTAACAACACTCAGTCCTAGTTGAGGAGCTCTTAAGAGTGGAGGTCTCAGCATAACGACTCTCTAGAACAAGAGGAGACCTGACTACACTCAATACTGGAGACAGTTAGTGAGGCTCAGAGGAAAGAGCCTACACATTAATACTGCCTAAGCGGAGCTCTAGAGAGTGGAGGCTTCAGCAGAATGACTCTCTTAAACGAGAGGAAGCCTAACAACACTCAATCCTGGTAGGGGAACTCTTAAGAGTGGAGGTCTCAGCATCATGACTCTCTAAAGCGAGAGGAGAACTAGCTACACTCAACGCCATAGGCAGTTAGTGAGGCTCAAAAAGAAAGAGCCTACAAACTCATATTACTGCCAAAGACAGAGCTCTGAAGAGCGGAGGCTTCCGCAGAATGACTCTCTTAAATGAGAGGAAGACTAACAACACTCAGCCCTAGTTGAGGATCTCTTAAGAGTGGAGGTCTCAGCATAATGACTCTCTAAAATGAGAGGAGACCTGGCTACACTCAACACTGGAGACAATTAGTGAGTCTCAGAAGAAAGAGCCTACACATTAATACTGCCTAAGCGGAGCTCTAGATAATGGAGTGTAACGAATCAGCTCATGGGAAATATGAATAATTAACCATAACTAGTTATAATTAATTATGAATATTTTAGATCCGCTGTAGATATTTAGCTGACCTCTCAGGGTCAACTGTCTTGTCAATTCTAAGAACGTTAATTTCCTGGTTAAGGGAAATAACTTTCTTACTGTACAATTCTACAAAAGCTTGTAGCGTAAATCTGCATGATTAGTGACTCCGGTTATGAGCAAACAATGAACACGTCAAGTGTGATACAAGTAAGGTTTTATTAACTACATAAACACTTAAACTAGTCTAACATACAAATATAGCTAACAAAATATATATTGTGTGTTTGATTGGTCCAGACGCTACAGGAGGCTTCAGCAGAATGATTCTCTTAAATGAGAGAAAGCCTAACGACACTCAGCCATAATTGAGAAGCTCTAAAAAGTGGAGGTATCAGCATGACGACTCTCTAAAACGAGAGGAGACCTGACTACACTCAACGCTAGACACAGTTAGTGAGGCTCACATTAGAGCCTACATACTAATAGTACTGTCTAAGCGGAGCTCTAGGGAGCAGAGTACACTGCATAACGACTCAAAAAGCTAGAGCACTGAGCTAAGAGTACTAACCATGCTCCTAAGTGCCGAACAGAGCTCTAGGGAGCAAGCACTCAGCATATCAACCCTCTAAAGCGAGTGGAGTGCAATCATCCACCCTTATGGATCAGCGTACTCAGTACGAATACCCTCAAGTGAGGGGAGTACTCGAAAGCTCGACCTGAAGAGCGACTTATCAAGGAGGCCCACAAGAGCCTAACAACCTAAAACAGCCACAGAGCTCTGTTGAGAGAACACTAGGAACTGTGATCTCAGCATAGCGACCCTCAAAGGGAGGGGAATTGCCAGGCTCAAGAACAGCTGATCAGGGAGGCTCACAGAGACCCTCACAACCTGAAATAACTGCAAAACAAAAATATTAGGGAGCAGAGTGCTCAGCATAACTCTAGCTAGGCGAGAGGAGCAGAAACCATGCTCAACCTAAATACACATACCTGGGCTGAGAGGATGAGGAGGCTCAGAGGAGGCTCAAACAAGAGCCTAACAACTCAAGAAAACTTGCTATTACACCATGTCAGGAGCCTCCTTCACCAATAATGTAGATATCAGAGGTTTTCGGCATTTGAACTACAATCGACATCTCACATTGTACACAGTTCCTATTCTGTTAATAGTTAAAAATCTTTGTTTGTGTTCTACTGAAGAAACAAAATCACCTACATCCTGGATGCCCTGGGGGTAAGCAGACAAACATCAAATTTTCATATTTCAACTATCCCTTTAAGTCATGACGTAAGGTTTGCTGTTACCGGGTCCATGCCTCTACTGATTTCACTTGAGAATACTATCTCAACAGTCATTTTTTATCATTATTATTTAATTAATATTACATATTTAAGCTAAGCATTAAAAAATGTGCTGTGCACACTACAGTCTCCGTGCTCACAGTGTCTCAGTCACTAATATTTTAGCTGAATCACTGTCAGGCCATCTGGGATTTCAGTATGGAGATAAAGGTTAGGGTTATACTTTTTCAGTATTACATGACATCGTGGGTGTATATTAGCACAGTTTGTTGTTTTTTGGGGGGCGTCTGGGTCTGGCAGAGCGTTAGGACCCAGAAGCAGTGAAGCGTGATGTTAGACGTAACAAGCAGATATTCTTAACCACTCTGTGAATCTGCTTTGAGCAAGAGGTGGAGTGGAGTGCACCGCAATAAAACCCCGTCCTTTATTCAATATTCCGTTTCACTTGGAAATACATCACAACACTGAAGTCAGTTGCAACTTCCGGTTCACGGGTACTTTGATATTTATATTTTTCAAGGTATTGAAGTTAGAAATGTCTGTATCATGACCACTAACTGACATACTTTGTCAATAAGATAAAAGTGGGATTTGTTCAAAGTAGCTATTATCCACATACAGTATATCTTTGATATGAATGAATATGTTTAGGTAATTCATTCAATTTCACTGACTAAAAAGTAACTAGTAACTAGTACTCTGAGTAGTTTTTGAGAGGAGTACTTTGTACTTTTACTTAAGTACTGTTTTGACACCAGTACGTTTACTTGTAATTGAGTATTATTTCAGCAATGTAACAGTACTTGTACTTAGATACAAACTTTCAGTACTCTTTCCACCACTGCATACATTTCATAAATGTATAAACGTTTCACATAAAAATGTCAAGCATATTTAATTACTTACCTCACAATACAAATTTCTGCTTACTTATGAAAATAAAAACATTTTAGCTCCAGGTAGGTTAACATTCCTCTGCTTTCCAACTGTTTGTGAGCATTGTTTTTCATTTCCTTTTCTTATATAAAATGGAATGCAGCTCCGCCACATTCTGCAACATGAACCGTAATGAACAACAGGCTCTTTTAAAGGAGCAGCACACAGTGAAAGTTCTCACTGACACTGACACTTGTTCAGGACTCTTTGGTGTCCCTTTTTAACTCAACTCCTTCAGCATTTTTTTCTTTCTTTTTTTGACGTGCAGTGTCCATTGCTTTCAGTACACCAATGCAAGTGCCATGGACATTTTACCATCATGATGATATGTGTGTGTGTGTGTGTGTGTGTGTGTGTGTGTGTGTGTGTGTGTGTGTGTGTGTGTGTGTGAATAAGAAAAACAAAAATGCTACAACATTTACTATCAGCTTACTGACAGTTAAAAGGGACTTTGACACAAAATTACGGAGACAATTACATACAGGGGAGGAAAAACATAAATAACTAAAATCAATCAATAAATAAGTTAAGTCTTAAGATATATGAGTTTGCTTTTCAAAAGAAAGATGCATTATATTATTTACAGACAGAAATTGGTAAATAATAATAATAATAATAATAAAACTTGATTAATATAACTGTTAGAATATTTTACCCTTCTCACTTATAAACTTAGTCAGTTCAATAATGGTGGTAAAGAATTGAAATAATTTGTTGTCCATGTAATAATAATAATAATAATAATAATAACTGTTATTGATATTTTATTGCTTGACGTAGCCTATTCCTCATTTGTAAGTTGATGCTAAATGAGTATGTAATATTTTAATACAGAAGGAGTGGCTGATCTTAGTAAGGAATTGGCATGTAAAATTTGGGAAAACCTAAAAAATTAAATTAAATTAAATTAAAATAAAAGACACAATTAAATATAAAGAAGCAATTAATTAAATTACGATACATTCAATTTCATCATACAATTTTTACACTATTTTTTTTGCTTATTGTTTTTAGTGTCCTAATTAGGTAGTTGAAGTCATGAAAAAATGATCACAATCAGTTTATTATTGAGAACATTTTACATTTGTGAATAAAATATTCTGCCAATGAAATAATTACATTCCCTATATTCTGCATTTTAAATACAAAGAGGAAAAAATAACAAAGCATATCACACAGTGTTAAGTTAAGGCGACCTCTGACTCGAAGAATTTGGAAAGATCAAATCAAAACTCTTTGGATGTAGAAAAGAACAAAAGTAGGGGAACCCTGATACTGACGGCATGAAGGCGGTCAAACGTCACTTCCGCCTGGTGGCCTGAAAGCGCAGGCGGCCATATTACTTTAGCTTACACACTCACGCGCTAGCAGCAGTTTGTTTATGCTGTGAAGTGCAGCTGTATTTTAACCAAACTCTCTCAGTTTAGCTCAAGCGGGACGATGAGCGGCGGCACGCCGTATATCGGCAGTAAGATCAGTTTGATCAGTAAGGCGGAGATCCGTTATGAAGGCATTCTCTACACCATCGACACGGAGAACTCCACCGTCGCGCTCGCCAAAGGTCAACAACACACACGCTTCTCACGGGCTTTACTTCGTTACGCCTGAGTATTTCGCGTTATACGCGGTTAGCAACGAGGCTGTGTCTCAAAATGCAGTGAGCTTCCCTACACAGACAGCAGTGCGGCAGGCTTGGGCTTCATGAACGGGTGTTTCAATTTTGCACAATATTCACCTGCGCAACGGCAGAATGAACGCGTCTTGCCCGAAAATGTATTCTCGCTGGCTGCTCTTATTTCCCACAGCTTGTTAATGTGTTTAATGTGGGATTTCCTCCCTCCATCCAGCTGTTAGATGTTGTCTGAGTGATGCATACTGTTACAAACTTGCCTTGTTAATCAGAGTTTCTGACAAAATCAAGTTACCACAGTTCTGTTGTCTTATTAGTCACTGTGATATTTAGACTGAAACTATGGTCACCCTGGTAAAACTCTGGAGTAATTGACTGTCAATCTCTGTTTATTTTTATTTTTAAATCACAATAAGCATTAAATGGAAACTTTTTGCTTTAAATTAAAATTTAACTTCATTTATATATATATATATATATATATTTATACACACAGTATATAATAATAATAATAAATGAAATTTAATGGGAAAAATAGTGATGAAACACTGTTATTCAGTTTAACACTTATTAGTTTAACTATATAGTAAATGTCTGTCCACATGAGATTTCTTTGTGTATGTTATAAAGGTTAGGAGCTTGATTTTTTTTTCGGTCACATTTACAGCGCACTGTGAGGGTATGTTAGCACCGTTTGTTGTTTGGAAATGGTGAGGTCAGACTTAACCACTGGATTACTTGCCGTGCAAAAGCTGTCTGATCTTAAGAAGATTAGAGTCAATTACCATTATTGAAGTCAAATCTCAGAGGAAGACACTCGTATAAAGGCTCTTTTAAAACTCATGATTTGCTCTTTTGATGCTTGTTTCAGTGCGCTCCTTTGGCACCGAGGACCGACCCACGGACCGTCCCATCGCACCCAGGGATGAGATATTTGAGTATATTATATTCAGAGGAAGTGACATCAAAGACCTGACGGTGTGTGAACCTCCCAAACCAACATGCTCTCTGCCTCAGGACCCCGCCATTGTTCAGGTATAGACGAGGACGCACTCGGTGGCTAATAAATGCCCTGTACAAATGAAACCATGAAGGTTTATAATAAGCTTAACTTATTATCACTGCAGGTAATGTATTTTAGGCACATGTAGGCCAAAGTCTGGTGAGCTGCCTATTGTTAGATCCTTTCAACACATCAGGAAAGTCAAGAGTCCACTCTTTTATCCTGTCAGAAGTCTGGAAATATAGTTTTTGTCTGAAACCAATTAGCACTGCATTTTGTCTGGTATCCAAAACTGTTAATAATCGTCTTCTGTTAGTCAAGGAAGCAGATGGAGGCAGATTGAAAGAGCAGGAAGCAGGAGATTTTTTTGTAATAAATGAGCAGTGTTTATTAAATAATCGTACACAATCTTAGTTGTGTCTGATTTATTGCTTAGTCTGGCGCAATGGAAAATTAATGCTTCACAGCATCAACAAGTGATGTAATTTAGTGATTTTTTTAAAAACCTTGAGATGGAGACGTTATCGTGAAGAGAAATATCTCATGAAACCACAGTCATAAGATTAAACAAGCACTCAAAGAGTGAGAGAAATGGGTCTAAATTATTGAAATATCATTTTATTGCTAAATATTATTTGGTACAATTATTGGCAAGATTGGGGTTTCGGTTATATCTACTAAATCTGTTCTCTGGATTTGTGCTCTTCCGCTGTATTAACATTTAAATATTTCAACTGAATCAATTAATTTGTTTCAATAATAAAATTTTCTTTTAATATTGGATGGGATGCTGCTGTTTTTGCAAAACAAAAGTTGCCAAAATCTTTAAATCCCTAACAAAGGTGCACCATGTAACACAACAAAAGTCTAAAACACATGAGAACACGGTATACAATTAAAGCCATTCCTATTAAAGCCATATTTTTAGAGGATGACTGAGTTAGCTGAAAAAGTAATAAAAATAATTATTGCTTTTTATTGAACACTTTTGTGTTTTTCCTAACACAACCTCTAGTCACATGATTAAAGTCACAAAGACACATGCAACACAATGTAAGCATCTATGAAACAAATTAACTTAACCCCCTCCAAAACTAGTTCCATCCGAAAAGGACCTTATACTAAAAACGCTGTAGATAGGCAGCTCATTAGCTTTCATATACTGAAACTAGCGAAAACCTGTATTAAGACATGAAATCTTTGAGCTTTGTTTCAGAGTTATAAGATTGAATGGTGTTGGTTTTCAGTTTGTCATTGTTATAGCGCAGTGCATTATTAATCATGCTTTATTCATCTGTTAGTCCTCTATGGGATCTTCCACTGGCCTACCATCATCCTTCCAGTCTGGGAAGTCATACGGGCTGTTCAACCGTCCACAAGTCACGCCATACACCCAGTTCAACCCCAGCTCACTGGTCTCACCGCAGTTTGGCACTGTTGGAGTCGGTAAGTCCCCTTCACAGCTTTGTACTGGAGATGTTTCAGTTCATATAAACTGAGGAACATTTTTATAATAACATACAGCTGTAAAATACTGCAATGCATCCATTAGTTTGTTACAAGTTGCTGAGCAGAAGTGACCAAGCAGGATATAAGAGTCCATATTTGATGATCCTATGGCACCTCTGATGTGTGTGCCTGCTCTTCCTTTCCTCACAGGAAGTACAATGGGATTGTTTGGTAGTGACACTGGCATGACTGCAGCACTGTCTCAGAGCAGTACTGTTGCCTCTGCTTTCAACAGTGACACTTTGTGTGCATTCATAGCAGAAGGTAAACCTCTCCCTGGTGGCCAAAATCAAACTATTCAAAGTTTATAAGCCAAATGATTTGGGTTCATCTAACTGCCAAATCAAATCTAAATTTAACCTTTTTCAGTTTATCAGTGTGAAATAAAGCTTTGTGTTTAGTACTCGGCAAGACAGTTTGGTGATCTCTCATGTCTCAGTTGTCTCTTTGTCTTTTGAAAGTTTCATGTGTAACAGTTTCACTTCTCACTCTCAGAGGCAGTTTTAATGCACCATGCATGTAGAAGAAAAATTAAGGGGTTTAATAGTTTTCTGATAACCTAAATAACTTACAGGCCACGTACACACTGCAGATCTTTGGGAATAATCACATTTAAATGGGGAGTGAATTGTATGTGTGTGCAGAATACATGAGTTGACAATGTAAACAGTGTAAAACAGTGTAAACTGTTTGACAAGACTAACTTTAGTGACCAGGAGCATTATTATCTGACAATAAACGTTATCTTCCTGCACTCTCAAGAGATTCAAGCTTGCTAAACTTGATTGGTGCCCTCTTAAGATTGCAGTGTATGGGTTTGCCAGCCCAATAAATCCGTGCAAAACTTCCTCGGTTGCCATCCAGACTCTTCTGGTTGGCTGGTCCAGCCTAACCTTCCCTGTGTATTTCAACCCTCAGTTACGAGACTCAAGTTAGTGGGTCAGTAGTACAGGACAACTCGTCACTCGTTTCCTGGCTGCAAGCTCAGTACTTCTCTCCCTAACGACAGTAGATTCTTTCCGGTGATTCCTCAGCCTATGTGCTTACCGCATATGCTAGGCTCCACATTGTTGTGGCTGTTCCTAATAGGAAGTTCCCTTATCCAATCAGCCATCCAGGGGTGTGTTTCCCAAAAGTATCGTTAGCTAACTATGGTCGATTATGGTAGAAGTTCCATTGAACTCTATTGGTAACGATGTAACTTGCAACCATAGTTGCTTTTGGGAAACACACCCCAGCTCCTTGTACTTGTTGTCCTCACTGATGCCTTCTGGCAACCTCTTGCCAGGGTTCTTCCAGCTCCACTAGAACACATTTCTTTCCCTCTGACCACATAGTTATGCTTGGTCCAGGGTTGTGGACAAGATAAGATCAGAGTATTAAAAATGTCCACCTAGGTACATGTCCACACCTGTGGGAGCAGTGCAGTACATTTGGTGTTGGTGCAAAATGGGTACAAGTGCCCAGCTCATTCCTTAATGAATGAAATTGCATATTCTGGCTATGCCCTGACTGGGTACTTCATCCTGTCCTGCTTCCCGATGCCTGTGACCACTGATACTTTATCATGGCACCACCTGTACTTTCCCTGGGTCGCTGCTGCTTTGCAACTCGACAGGATGCATGCTTTTGAGGCCCCTTGACTCTGCAGAGTTTGCAAACTGAGACTTTTCACAATCACCACCTGTGCAAGTTCTCCAGGGATTAGAGGGTATCGTAGACCACCCTCAGCAGAAAAGATTCAAAACGTCTCCAGCCTCATGGAGTAACGGTTTCTTCTTCAACGAGGGAGGACCCAACTTATCCATTATCCCTTAAACTCATACTTTCCATCGCACCTCTTCTAAGATTCCTCACTTTTGCTTTGATCAGGGATGGGTGACTCTGGCCCTCAAGGTGCAATGTCCTTGAGCTTCACTCCTAATTAAGCACTCCTGAAAAATCTAACTAAAATCTTCAGAATTACTTTAGAATTCCAAGTGGGTGTGGTTGATTCATTGTGCTACAGTCATCACACGTCGTGGTCACGTGTTTAGACCACAAAACTCTGCAGGACCTTGGGGTCCAGAGCTATCCACCATTAGGCTGGATTGTCCCCATTGTCGGAAGTGCAATGTGCTAAGACTATCCCTTTCAGTGCTTGGGTTTCCTGTTATGTTCCTTGGCTTAAGTGGCCATTCTGTTGGAGCTACTGGTGCGTTAGGAAGCTGTAAGTTAAATATTAATAATAATTAGATGTTACATAATTTTTTGCAACTTTTTTTATTAGTACGCCATTTGAAGCACCTCAATTATTATATTGTTTCGTCTGTTGTAGAGTCTACTCTGAACAGACATTCAGATGTTTATTTTAAAAGGCAAAGTATTGAAAATCAAAATAAAGCTCTGAAACACTTGCATTTTTACAACACTATAAGCGTGTCCCATCGGGTAATGAAAAGTTCTACACACACTTGTGGTTTTCACGCCCACTTGAACACTTGGTCCAAATACAGGAAATACGTCATGTAAGTAGACAAGTGGTCAAGTGCAAAGACGGCAAGTGTGGGTATTTGGACAAGCCCATTGTCTTTGGGGTCCCTGTAGGTCAGATGCCAAATATCAAAATTTGTGTGACTCAACTGCATTAAAAACTACTGCTACAGTTTGATTCTGTGCACTCTATGCACATTTAATGTAAGTTTGGTTGTCATGACCTGTCAGGACTTTATTTAGCTGCTGTGTGTACGTGGCCACAATGTGTTTTCTGAAACTACTGTTTATAGAGTGTGTGTGACTGGATTGTGGTGATCTGTTTAATCAAGAAATTACTTCATTAACACAATTCACCATATTTCGTCTTCTAACCTGCACTGATTTCCTCACATCAGGGTGGCTGAGGTTCTTAACTTTTTTTTTTTTTGCTGTAAACTGTTTTAACTTTCTCCCTTCTTCTACAGGTCACACCAGTCCAGCTCAGGACCCTCTGCAAAAGAGCCCCACAGTGGAGCCTGCTGCCCAATCAGTCACTAGTGCTGCTCCCACAGCTGTGGGTCGCAAGAGCCCCGTGTCAACTCGCGCAGCCTCCACCAATACTCAGAAGCCTGTGGACCTCACAGAACAGACCAGGGGTGAGAATAAGTCCAGATGCCACAAACCTGCTGCTCAAGACCGAATTGTTGTAATTCAACAGTACCACTTTTCCAAATGATGTTTAAAGCTAGTGTTAATTTCGTTAACGAAGACTATGACGAAATGAGTAAGTCCCATGAGTAAGACGAGGCGAAGACGAGACTATAATAAGGCCAATAAACGATAACTAAAAGAATATATCAACGCGCAATTTTTTTGACGAAATAAGACGAGACGAAAATGTATTAAAAAAAATAAAAACGTTATTTTCGTCAAAAAAAGGAGACAAAATGTTATTGCAGACGGCTCTACACGCCGCTACTACGTGAGCTTTCATGAGTGCTTTTACCAAATATCAAGAGTTCAAATCCCCGAATCAGCGCTTCGCTGATACATTTTCTGCCTGGTGTGTTTTGCTTATTTTAAGCAATCTGGCAACCATGCGTGGGTTGGTGGGTTTTTGTTAAATGTGAGCCAAAATCATCACAATTAAAAGAACCAAAGACTTAAACTACTTCAGTCTGTGTGCGTTGAATTTATTTAATACACGAGTTTCACAATTTGAGTTGAAATACTGAAATAAATGAACTTTTCCATGACATTCTAATTTATTGAGATGCACCTGTATGTTGAACTTGCATACATTTTACATGGCTTTCTAAACATGCGGCTCTTTTGTGCGTGACGCGAGTGCAACGGTGATAGATATCCCTCTAGAAAATGTGCGAAATATGCGTTCTGTGTGAATGGCTTGGTTACAGTTTTGACGTAAACCAGATCTTCTTCGCATTGATGTTCTCTTTTCCCGCAATATTTGTAATTAACAACGCAACAGCGCCGCATCTAGTGGCTTCAACTGGATAGGTTAACAAAAACATTAAAATGCAACGACACTTACATCGTCATCGCATCTCGTGCTCCATTGATAAGGCTGCCTCCTTAACGCACACCTAAAATTCGAATGCAACGTTTTTGCATTCGAATGTGGATTTTTATTTTAAATTTGACGAATATTCGAAATTCGAAAAAAATTGACAGCGCAATTGTCCAGGTAGGTCATTTTTAACTCGTTCCCCCCGCCATTGACGAGTTATCTCGTCTTTTAGGAGAAAACGCTTCCCCCGCCAAAGACGAGTTTTTACGGCTTTTCGTGTTTTCACTGTTATACACTCGGGGGCGCTATTATGCATCTTCTGAACGAGTACAAAACCTCCTGAACAGGACGGAGAAACTAGCGATCTCTTATGTAAACGGATGCATATGAAAAATAATGCGATCATCAACAATAGACAGCATATAAATGCATAATGTTACGGAGTAAAATGTTGATCCAGGAAGTGGTATATGTCTGTGCAAGCTTTGGAGGAATTGATAGAAGTGATTTACTGGATTTATGCTTTGATAATCGTACTGAATATTATCCAGATGTCGTTTTTAATAAAAATGTGATTTTCTCACCTTTTTACTCAAAATAATGCATTTTGTGTATTGCATATTAAAACATTCATACAGCAAACTATACTGGAGGCCATCAAATTGTAGTGAAAATCGCTGGCAACTTTTTTCAAAAATGCTGGTGGGGAAAGAGTTGAGATGCAGCCTATGACTCGGACTGTTATTTGACAAACAATAATGGATTCCATATAGCCTATAGTTTTTTAGGAATTACAGGCCTTTTATTAGGGCTTCTTGGAAAAAGGAACAATAAGAATAGAGAAACAGGACACTAATGTTAAAACAGGTTCTGCTACAAGGATTTGGTACAGTATAATGTGTCCTAAAGGGTTATACTCTCCCAGGCGCCGATGTCCCGAAACCAAGCGTACCCGAGTCCAGTCAGTCCAGAGGAGGAAACAGGGACGCTTCTAAACGGCTTGCAGGTTATAACATGTCTGCTGAAAAGCCTTTCGCTGCAGTTATGTTGTGCTGTTGGATGCTAAAACTGCATGATTCTTATAAGAGCTTCGTCCATCTGTGTTTCACACGCATCCATACACTGGTTTTAGCAAGATCCTTTCTTAGAGAGGAACTTCTGAAGGTGAATCTCATGCAACCTGATGAGTGTTTCTCCCCAAGATTATAAGGGGGAAAAAATGCACAAAGAAAATTAAACCAGTTTTTTGGATCAGTAGTCTTCACAAGTGTCATTTCATTAAGCATATTTTCCCCAGAAGTCTCTTTTTTTTTTTTTTGGTAAGGCAGGAAAAAAGGGTTAGTTATAATGTTCATTGTAATGTTATTAAAATTGTAATACTTATCCTCAGGTCCCCATAATAGAGTACATTTTCATGAGATTCACACAGTGTGCTGTATTTACTCATATGTCATTATACTTTTAAATGCTTTAGCACTCCTCTGTGTGGAATGGCCTTGTGTCCTTATGATGCTTGGGTTACTCTGTGTTTACACAAGTTGTGCTGGTGTACTTTAAAGGGTTAGTTCACCCAAAAATGAAAATTCTGTCATTAATTACTCACCTTTATGTAGTTTCAAACCCATAAGACCTTCGTTCATCTCTCGGATTCCATTAAAAATATCTTAATTTGTGTTCCGAAGATGAACGAAGGTTTGAAACGACATGAGGGTGAGTAATTAATGACAGAATTTTCTTTTTTGGGTGAACTAAAAGCAATGCCTTTTATTTTTAATTTAACTTGATTAAAGCAGCCTTTTTCTGCACACTGACAGCTTAATGTAACTAATGTCTGTCAGAATATAACTTTGCTTTATATCACTAGCAACTGAACATCACAGCATGCTTCTTTTTCCCCCCCTACTTTATGTGTGTATTTTATGTATTTATGACAGATATTTTCTGGATCAGTAACCGTGTGTTTTGTGCTCTTCTCAGCTGGTGGTCCTCCTGCTGTCCGACGGGGTCGTGCCGGAGGTCATCGTGGAAGAGGACGATTCCCTGTGCGGAGAGAAGGACCCATGAAGTTTGAGAAAGACTTTGACTTTGAGAGCGCCAATGCTCAGTTCAACAAAGACGAGATTGACAAAGAGTTCCAGAGCAAACTCAAACTCAGAGGTACAATCAGATTACCAAATATGCAAAAAAGTGCAGGTTACATATTATGCAGGACTTATTATGGAAATATACTTTGAGAGAATATTCGTGTGTGTGTGTATATAGATATATATATATAGATATATATTACACATTACACATTGACGTGCAAAAGTTTGGGATGAGTAAGAATTTTCAAGTTTTTTTTTTTTTTTTTAAAGAAGTTTCTTCTGCTCATCAAGGCAGCATTTATTTGATCAAAAATACAGCAAAAAAAGTACAATTGTGAAATCTTGCAATTTAGAATGTAATTTATTTCTGTGATGCAAAGCTGAATTTTCTGCATCATTACTCCAGTCTTAAGTGTCACATGATCCTTGAGAAATCATTCTGATATGCTGATTTATTATTGATATTAGAAACAGTTTTTGCTGCTTCATATGTTTTTTAAAACTGTGACTCTCTTTTTCAGGATACTTTGAATAAAAAGTAAAAAAGGACAGCATTTACTTAAATTATAAATCTTTTGTAACAATATACAGTACCGTTCAAAGGTTTGGGGTCAGTACATTCTTATTTTTATTTTATTTTATTATTTTTTTTTATCAATTAATACTTTTATTGTGTAAAATTGATAAAAAAGTGACAGACTTATATTGTTATAAAATTTCTATTTTGAATAAATGCTGTTCTTTTTAACTTTAAAAAAAAAAAGTGAACTGAAAAAGTGTCACAGGTTGCAAAAAAAAAATTAAGCAGCATATTTAGCATTTTTAGTTTAGTGAATTTAACTTCCGCTTTAGAAAGCGTTATTTTTGTTTTTAGATTGTAATATTACAATGCTATAATGTAATGTGATTTTTAACCCTTTTTTGCACATAATGTATAGCATAGCCTACATGGTTATATTCATTTGATTTATTTTCAAACCCTATTATATGTTCATTATTTGTTGGACAACATTGGGCAGGATGTGAAATTTATTTTAATTTTAAAATAAATACAGATTTTTTAAACCCAAATAGGAAGCTACAAAAACAAAATGCATACCATATATCACAATTCAGCCAAAAATTAGAGATATGATTTTTTTGGCCATTTCGCCCAGCCCTATGACTCGGGCTCGAACTGACGACATTATTAACTGTTCTTATCATTGCTTTGGAAGCTGAAGCTAGCGATTATGATAAGGGGTGTTACATTTCCGACACACGCTTGAGATGTTCAGCCAATCACAACGCACTGGGTCAGCTGGCCAATCAGAGCACATTGCTCTTTTCGGAAGGTGGGACTTTGTAGAAATCGACGCATTTTAGAAAGACTGGGCATACAGGAGCTACTATATTGTACTGTATGTGAAAAATAATTTTTATGAACGTTAAAGCATGCTAACATATTCTTTTACACCCAATACACAAAATAAAAATCTTTGAAAATAGCATCATATAACCCCTTTTATTCCATTTCTATTGAAACTTGTATGTCATGTACTTAAATACATTTGTAATTACACATTTATCATGATAAAGTTGCAATTAAAGTCGCTATTTAAATGTAGTATCAAATAACACAAGTTCAAATTATAATCAAGTGCTTTACATGTACTTTAGTATGTTAGTCAACACATCAGAAGTGTTGACATTACAAAGTGTACTTAAGACAGTTATAAAAAGTGTACTCCTTTTTCATTTCATCTTTTATCTACAAGTACATTTAAGTACACTTATGATTTTAAGTATACTACAAATGCATATTGAATACAATTTTACAGTAGAGTGTAAAGCAGATAGCTTTCTTATGCTGTAGTCTAGAGAAAAATGCAGGTGTATTTCTCTGTGTATATGTTTGTTCAGATGAGAAGCCCGAAAAGGCTTTGAATGGCGAGGATAAAGGTGATTCGGGAGTTGACACTCAGAACAGCGAAGGAAATGCTGATGAGGAAGATCCTCTCGGACCAAACTGCTACTACGATAGATCCAAATCCTTCTTTGACAACATCTCCTGTGACGACACAAGGTCAGAGCACATCCAGCACACCTTTAATATAGAGATGAAATGCTATGAAAACTTCTTACCGTGGTTATAGTGACAAATTATCACGGTTGGCGGTATTACACGGTATTGTTAAAATATGATGGAAATGTTCAAAAAGTACTGACACACGAATCTCTTCAACCAAGTTGTATATTTAAAATCAACACAACAAATAAAATTACTTTTTTGTTTGCATGAACGCTAAAACATGTACGAAATGTTCAAATAAAGCTTTGAAAAAGTTTCATAAAATGGTAAACCTCACATTTCAAGTCAAAAACGATAAATGATTAATAAAGGATCAGATGTATTTTATCTGCTCCATAAATAATTCTAGATAACTTATCTGAATTATTTAAATGTGTTGAATCCACGTCAGCTTGTTTTTCATCAACCGGTCAAAATTTACAGTACAGCATGCAAATTCGGTCGTTGTTTTGGCCAGACAAACGGCACACAGGCTGAATGTAAAAGTAACTCTCTATAAATCCGCTCTCTGACAGCAGGTGGTGCTGATGAAGCAGCAGAATTACAGCGGTTTCCCATAACCTCCGCTCCACTGCGGAGAACTGCACGAGTGATTCAGCGGTAGCTCGTCTTCTCTCTCTCAAAACGGCTTCACATCAGCGCATCTCGTCTGCACTACAAGAGCCGCTGCACGCTGCGATACGATATTTACGCTCCCGTTTCGGTACAGTCGACACTTTTCACGTGCCTAATCGAGTCACTGTTTCATCGTCACAAAACAGTATAATTTGCACATCTTTTTAAAGGGTTAGTTCACCCAAAAATGAAAATTGGCTTGTGTTTTACTCACCCTCGAAGCATCCTAGGTGTATATGACTTTCTTCTTTCAGACGAATCCAGTCGGAGTTATATAAAAAATTGTCCTGGCTATTCCAAGCTCTATCATTGCAGTCAGCTGGTGTTGCAGTTGAACAGTCCACAAGTCGTCAAATAAAGCTCGCGCATTCATAATAAAATGTGCCTCACACGGGTCCGGGGGATGTATAAAGGCCTCCTGTAGTGAATCCATGCGTTTTTGTAAGAAAAATATCCATATTTCAAACGTAATAAACACTTTTCTCTCACTTCTGCTGACTGTTGTACGCAGAAGCCATTCCGGCGGAAGGCCGTATGACGTATGCACAGCGCGCGCGCCTCTGAAGTATGCTAGTCTCGCGAGTTTGTTTATAGGAGCAAATGAAGCAAAGTTTCCTTACTTTAGCAAAGGAAAACCAGTCTCCTCTTGGCTTATATCGAAATCCTCCGACATTTTTCTTTGCAAATCTTTGGTTTGTACTTCTAATTCGTGACCGGCGCTTTTTGTTCTCTCTCCGCATTCGTCACTAATCACGCAACGCCGCGTCTTACGTCATCCGCCGGAACGGCTTTAGTGTACGACAGATACCGGAAGTGAGAGAAACTCACCCCCGGAGCCGTGTGAAGCACGTTTTTATTATGGATGCGCGTGCTTTATTTGACGACTGTTCAACTGCAACACCCGCTGACTGCAATGATAGAGCTTGGAATAGCCAGGACAATTTTTAATATAACTCCGACTGGATTTGTCTGAAAGAAGAAAGTCATATACACCTAGGATGCTTTTAGGGTGAGTAAAACAAGCACATTTTCATTTTTGGGTGAATTAACCCTTTAAGTCCTTGTAAACCATTCGGTACTCGCATGCTCCACAACGGTTTTCTGTGCGCTTACAGTCACGCACATGAAGCGGCCTCAAACAGCTCACAAGTACCAAATGGAGTATCCTCATTAACACGGTCAGTTTTGCCTTCAGTGAATGTAAGCAGTTGTTGAGAAAGAAAACTGTGTATCGGTACATTGGATCTGTGCAGTCAGTCTTAAAGGGACAGCATCCTAATAAAGCTGTGCCGTCTGTCATTGTTGTAAAAAAAAAAAAAAAAAAAAAAAAAAAAAAAAAAAACATAAATCACTGCTCTTGACTAAGTAACATTTGTTTTCACACAAAACGAAACTTCTCTGCGTGCTGTGTGCACGTGACAGGGTTACTTCAAACTCTGCTTTATGCTGGATGGGATTTCTTTATCCTGTTCAAATCGCAGTAATCGAATACAGTTTTAATAATTAAATTAAGAAACCGTAAAACTAACTGTGAGGAATTTTATCACGATTTATCGTCAAACCGGTAATCGTTTCATCCCTACTTTAATATGAGCCTCCATATGTAAAATGTCACTTGTCACATGATGCAACAAATTCATAAATCTTGTCATTGTTCCTGATTTCAAACAGGAAGGCCGCTGAGAGATCTGGAGGATCCGGTTTCCCCCGGTGAGTACAGCAGAAGCCAAAACTACTGAATGGCTTTAGCCTTGCTACAACCACTTCATTAAATGTATTTGAACTGGTTTTCATAATTTCTTTAAGAGAGAGGAGGCAGACCTGGGCGGAGGAGCGGAGGATGAACGCAGAGACGTTTGGCCTCCCGCTGCGGCGGGGTCGCGGAGGCTTCAGAGGTCGCGGTGGCATGGGCTTCAGAGGGGGCCGAGGCCGCGGAGCTGGACGGGGGTGGTTTGGATCTCACCCTGGTGGAAGTGGCTTTAGAGGGGCATTCAGAGGAAGCCAAGGAGGAAGAGAGTTCTCTGACTTTGAATACAGGGTAATGAACGAGTCAAATTATGCTCGTGATAAGCATTTTACAACCCTCGACAATGCGAGTAAATCTCTCGCTTATGCGACTAAATGTTCATGCTAGGCTATTAAATAGTGTGATTTAAAAATGTATGTATGTATGTATGTATGTATGTATATATATATATATATATATGTATATATATATATATATATATGTATATATATATATATATATATATATATATATATATATATACATACATACATATATACATATATTTTTATATCACACTATTTAATAGCCTAGCATGAAT